TCAATGCTGCTTTCCCGCCGCGCTAAAAGAGCCATCACAAAAGTACATTCTGTATTTGGAGACTTGAACTACAGCCACTCAGGTTGAATCGCTCTGCTGAACTTCTCAGGCCAAAAACTCTCCCCCACAAAAACCCCAAACAAAAACAAAACCAAAACCCAACACCTCCCACCCACCCCCCTCTTTTCACATCTCTAGGGTGAAAGGAAACTAGATAGATACAGATACATTTAGATGGATAAATAGGTAAATAGATAGATAGATAGATAGATAGATAGATAGATAGATAGATAGATAGATAGATAGATAGATAGATAGATAGATAGATAGATAGATTTACGATATTTTGAGGGAACTCCTTCGTCTTTGTTTCATTTGTCGTTTTGTCCCCCAATAATGCTAATGATTGAAAAGTGCATCTGGTAGACTCTACTTCTTTTCTTTTCTTCTATTCCTTAAGCATTAATATGTATCTTTCTTTTAGGTGCTCCGTTAGCTCAGTTGGTATCATACTGAACTGCGGAGTGGGCGCCCCTGGTTCGAATCCGCGACTGGGTGTTCTTGAACTCGTCTTGTCCTGTGGCTCTTAACCCATACAGCTCAGTTCTATCGGAGAAGGACTTTAAATTTGGAGCACTCCTTCTTAAATAACCTAACAGTGTTGATAGGGGCATTAAAACCAAAACATTCTATAATGCTAAGTGGCCGTTATTGTGTCCACGTAAATTGTTTTACTACTGAAAAAATAAAAATAAAATTCTCTCTCTGTGGGTGGTTGGCTGGGGCTCGGGTGTGGTTTGCTTCTTCTTTCCTGTCAAACATCTATCGTCCTTATCTCTCCTCCTTCTTTTTTCTGTTCGTTGCTCTCATGTAACACCTCTAATCGTCGGCACTTATATGACTTTTTTGTGTTGCAAATGCCGTAAAACGCTTACTAAAAAAAATTATCTCTCTGGATGTGACATGTCTGTCAGTTTAAGTTTTAGTTAGTGGTTTACGGCACTTGTAAGCAACTCAGTTAGGTCATATAAGTGCCGAAGATTATAGTTGTTACTAGAGAGTAGCATGCGAAACAAAAAGAAGGAGGAGTGATCAGGAACATAGATGTTTAATCTACGAAAAGAAAGCTCTCAAACCACACGTTCAAACACCCGCCAGCCTCCCACTTTGGACTTGTTTATTTCCTGACGTTTCAGGTAACGTGTGTCCAGCGGTTCTGCTGTCGGTTCTGAGTCTTCTCGATTGTTCTCAGCCCGTGCTGGCTGTTGGTTTACTGACTGCAGCTGTTGGCACCTCGGGTGAGTGTCAGACAGACAGACAGACAGACAGACAGACAGACAGACAGACAGACAGACAGACAG